TGTCATACTATCAAATTGATCGACAGCGAAGATAGGAACTGGTTCTTCCTCTTGACTATCTGTATCACTGCTAGAGTCATCTGAGAAAGAATCTTGTAGAGCAAAGGCAGTATCTTCATCTGCAGAGCTTTATTCTGAGTAGAGAGATTCTACTTCATCTCGGTCATTTAAATGCAAAGATGTAATCATCTTTATGGCTTTTTGAACTTTGTTTGGGCAGGACCTAGCAAAATATCCCTTTTTCCCACAGATGTAACATCTTTGTCCTGGTTTTTTCCCCCGAGTCTCCTTTTTCTTAAAAAACCTATATGGTTTTTTATACTTCTTCTTCTTGAAACGAGATTTGAAATTCTTGCCTTTGAATTTGTTTTTTGGACAGTGGCATAGGTCTTTGTCTTTGCACTTAATCTCCAAGAAGGTTTTTCTGCAAGCTTTGGCATACTTTCCTTTATCTTTTAACATGTTTGAGAAGTATTCATGTTGTCGGCAAAGCTTATCTACAGCCTCTTGGGTCATCTGATGGATTCGACCCATTGTTAGGCATGTGAAGTCTTTATTCATAGCAGCAGCCATTCTGGCTAGTTCTGGCTGAATTTCTATAGGGAGTGAACTGACATAAGTGCTTTTCAAGCTTGGATCATTAAGACCGTTAAGAAGATAGAACCTTTTAAGCATTCTGAGATAATGCTTATCAAGGTCTTTCATCTTAAGTGAACAACACTTCATCTCGAAGAATTCTTGTCTGATTTTTCTGTCCGTGAGAGATCCATCTCCTATGAATTCTTCATGCAGTGCTCCTAGGACTGCAGCTGTATTTCCTAGTTCATGAAATGTGTTCTGACCAACTGGACCTAGGTTGGCATACCATTCTTTTAGGATTCCAGTCATCCTACATCCAAATTCTTCAATGATCTTGTAGGATTCAGTATCTCCTTTCATGAATCTAGTGTCTAGCCAAGCTCCAAATTCAATCAGCCAGGATCTCCATTGGCTTGGATCAACATCATCAAGAGTGCACCAAGGTCCTCTAGTTGGCTTGGTGGCCCCATTTTTGGGGCTTTGTATGGGACTTTCGTTAGGTGATTCATAAATAGGATCTTGTCTGGTAGATGATGCCATTAAAATAGAGAGATCTGCCAAATGTGCTTTTGATGAAGCTGTAGTAATGGAATCTTCATCAGATAGATCTGTGAGAAGATCGTCCTCTGATTTGGAACCTTCAGAGGTTCCTAAAATAGCAAGTTGTTCTTCTTTTTTGATCATCATCTGAGAATAAGGGTCTTGAGAGTCTTGGAAATAATGACCCTTTCCGGAATCATGCCTTTTTGGAGATGACGTTGGGGTAGATTGAGAAGACTTGGAGTCGTCTTCTATTGATTTGGAGATTTTCCTTGAACTAGATTCTGTCTTTCGCCATTGCCAATTTGCAGAGGCAGTGGGAATATTGTAATGTGGTCTTTCCGGTTTAGACCATGAGACAAATGGTGCTTTGAACAGAGAATGAGACACTGGTGCAGGAGGGTGCAAAAATGCGTAAGGATCCACAGAAACTGGATGAGGCTCCAAAGCCTTCTTTTGTTCTATCTGTTCTTCCAGTTGGAAGAGTTGAGCCTTTAGACTCCTGATTTCTCTATCCTTTTTGCTTATTACTGCTCCAAAAGGAGTGTTTCTTATTTCACTTTCTAGCCTGGAAATGTCAGCAGTTAATTTCTGGTAATATGTCTTCATCTTGGATGAGAGATATTCCAGCTTGTCGTCTGACTTTTGTATACTGCTTGATATTTTTGTAATGTTGTCATCAATCCTTTTCAGCAGAGAGTTCTGTGCTTGGGCATTTTCTGTTTGCCAATTGAGAACTTCTTCAGCTTGACTTAGTACTTTTGGTTTTCCGTCAGTACCAATCTCAGAAGGAATGATGGTGGGTTTGGTAGAATACCTCGTATTGAGATTTATTTTTCTTTCCAAAGGAGGAAATTCTATATCTTTGTTTGCTTCAGAAAACATGAAACATGGTGTTGGTTTAGGTGTTGGAGGGGAAAACCTTTTCACCTCGTCTGAACACCTTAGTGAAATCATATTAAAGGAAGATCTGCTTTGTTGATTGGGCCGTCTGTTGAGAGAAGGCCTGTTTTGTGAATCTGACCTTATGTTAGGTTGAGGTGGTGACTTACAGGGTGTATCCCATTCATCATCACTGTCACTATCTGATTCACTGTCTTCTTCCTCACTGGTGTCTCCCGAGTGCATCCAGCAATCACATTCGGGGTCACACATCTCTGGGTTGACATCCCAGATAAAATGGCCATTGATACGGTCAGTGTAGACTATCCTTCCATCGGCATAAACAGAGTCGATGGGTATTCTTCTTTCTTTGACAAATGGTTCTAACATCATGGTTTGGAAAATTGGACCTGAGGGTTTCTCAGGTTGTTGGAAGATTGTTCTGACCGTTCCGTCAATGGATCTTCTGAAAGTTGCTTGGTCCGTCTGAATTGGCTTTCCATGGTGCTTATGGAGATTCTCATAATTTGTCACCCATTGTAATGGGATGAGCTCCTTCAATTGTTCCCTAGAAATGTTTCTAGGAACCTGGACGATCGAAGGGCTTTCTTCTGCCTGGTTTGCAAGAACAAATAAGGCGCTATCATTGATGCTAGGTAAGGCCAGGTTGACTGCATGAGTCTGTAGCCTATATATGATCTGATAATGAAGAGTAGCACAAACAACATCGGAGGTCTGGGCAGCTCCGGTTATCTGGACTTGGACCTTTAATCTTTCTGGTACAATGGGGTCTCTTAAACTAACATTGTAATTGGGGAACAATGTTAGGACGACACTTCCAGCATGGAGTGTAGTCAAGACCGTACCTATCACAGCATTCTCATAGTGAAGGTAGCTAGTGTCTAACAAGGAAATTCTTGACGAGACAGGAAGTCCTCGTCTCCCGTGAAGGGTAAGCATCAACCTGATGGTCCCATAGTGAAGGTGGGTGTAGCCATTAGTTCTCTAGTGTTGGATGAGTTCTCTAGGAATTTCAATGGTAACATACTGTTCTTCAGAAGTAGCCATTAAAGAACACTGTTCCATCTTAGAAGATTGAACATATTCTTTTTCATGTGGACGTGTGGTTCTCACCAACTGCCTAATAGATCTTAGAGTAGATCTTTGGCGTTTGAAGATATTATATGGACTCAGAAGAGGGGCAGTGCTCTCAGAAATCTGAGCATCCTCAGGGATATAAGAGAATTCAACTAGATTTTCGATTTTTGGGGCAAGGTTCTAGAGACATGATTGGGTAAGGATAGGGAGGTATTTAGAAAGGCGAGTTGAGTTTCTGAGGTAGGATTTTTCATGGTAGTAAAGTCTCTCTTCTACTCACTCTGTCCTCTAAAATAGTATTATGGTCTCAGTTTTACGAGTTTAGGCTCTGATACCAATATAATATTATGGGCAGAGACACATTTACATGGCCTCTGATTTTTTTTATTAATTTATAATGTATTTAGTAATTTATTATATAGGTATAATTTATCTGAGAGTTTAATATCTATAGTAATAATAAATGTGATAATTTCATTTAGTTTCCGCTTTTATTTTTTTTATAAAATAATTTATTTTTATAATAATTATCCTTTTTCATTTTAGATAAATATTTTATTCTCTTCATTATACTCTTCATTGTAAATATAATTATATTTTTTAGGAAAATATTTTAGTATCATTTTTTTTAATTTTTTTTATATTTATTTGATTATAATTAATTTGATAGTTGAAGACTCTTTTTTTTTTTTGTCAATAAAGCAAACTTAGACATCCTATATAAGTAAATAACGGCTTAAAATTTCATATATATATATATATATATATATATATATATATATTAATT